AAACAGAGAACAGTTAATGAAAAGAGAAGGTTATTACATTCAAAATAATGATTGTGTGAATAGATGTGTGGCAGGTAGAACAATTAATGAGTGGAAGGAAGACAATAAGGAACACTATCAAAATATGAGGAAGGAATACGCAGAAAACAACAAAGAACATATATGTAATAAAAGTAGGGAGCACTACCACCAAAACAAAGAAACAATATTGGAAAAACGAAAAGAACCTATTGAATGTGAATGTGGTGGTGTTTTCAGGAAATGTGATATAAGAAGACACGAGAGAACTGAAAAACATCAACGATATGTATGTGAAAATATTAATATCTAAATAGTTCTAATAATATATGCACTTATTAGAACTATTTAGTGGTACTTCTTCAGTTGGTAAAGTAGCAAAGTCGCTCGGTTATAATGTTATATCATTGGATTTGAAAACGGTGGGTAAACTCCCCAATTAAGGGGGGCGAACTCCCCAATTAAGGGGGGCGAACTCCCCAATTAAGGGGGGCGAACTCCCCAATTAAGGGGGGCGAACTCCCCAATTAAGGGGGGCGAACTCCCCAATTAAGGGGGGCGAACTCCCCAATTAAGGGGGGCGAACTCCCCAATTAAGGGGGGCGAACTCCCCAATTAAGGGGAGAATGGCTCAAGTAACAAGGTCTGGCTCACACAACACAGTCAGGCTCACACAACACAGTCAGGCTCACACAGCAAGGTTTGGCTCACACAGTAAGGTCTGGCTCGCACAGCAAGGTCTGGCTCACACAGACATTTAAATTAAACCTGAAACCCAGACCAGCTGACCAGCAACCCCCTAGTCAAAACTACTTAAAGAAAAAATAGCATAACATATTAAGAGAAAAATGAACTATGATGAAATCAACAGTTATATTAATAAGAAATGCTATGATTGTTGCCACTTCAAAAAAGAAAATATGGAATTATACAAATTGAATTTACCTAATGGAATAGTAAATAATATTACTGATTATGCTCTGAGTGAAGAAGATGTATGTAGAACTTGTAGAAGATGGAGACGATATCAAAATATGATAGAAAATTTTTGGAGATTAAAAAAATAGATGAAAGAAATGTTGAAGATGACATTTTGATATTTTTAACTGTGTATGAAATACCACCTCATAGTTATGTTAGAGCATTTCTCAAAATCAGTAAGAAAATATGACATGATTGATGATATATTATGGATGTTGGGTTATAGTCAAGAGAAAGGAGAAGATGTTAAAGAAAATATCAAATTATTTATTGAAAGTAAAAAGTTTAATGTTCAAAATACAGTGAGAGATATTAATATTATTTTTAAAATGGTGTATGAAAGAAGTAAGACAAATCAATTAAATTATTATCCTGTATTGGGATTATAATCATACTATAATAATAACATGTAAAATCTTATATGTTATAATTATACTGAACGTTTAACCTATAAATGAAAATTAATGAGAAACATACTAACAAAACAAATGCACCGCCAACACCCCAGAACTTGATAACTACTAAAAGGGCTACCTCCTTCAAATGAAAAAAATGTTTGCCCCCAGCCCAACAATGAACAAGGCGACAATTTACCCAAATGATTACCTTAACGAAAACGATAAATAAGCTCCCTAAAAACCCTCTTTTCAAAACGAATAAGGGGGAACATAGATTTGAGATGAACATAAAAACCAGAACAGGCAACCATCAACAGACTTCCCCCCAGGCCCCCTACTTCTTCTATTTTTTCCCCCCCCTCCCCCCCCCTCCCCCCCCCAGTAATCTTCCGCAATCTTTCGGCTTCTTCCCGTAGTCTTCCGTAGTCTTCCGGCTTCTTCCCGTAGTCTTCCGTGGTCTTCCGCCTTCTTCCCGTAATCTTCCGTAATCTTTCGGCTTCTTCCAGTAGTCTTTTTCGTAGTCTTCCGGCTTCTTCCCGTAGTCTTCCGTAGTCTTCCGTAGTCTTCCGTAGTCTTCCGGCTTCTTCCCGTAGTCTTCCGAAATCTTTCAAGCTTCTTCCCGTAAATTTCCGCAATCTTTCGGCTTCTTCCCGTAGTCTTCCGTAATCTTCCGGCTTCTTCTCCTAGTCTTCCGATACTGTTTCGGGACCAAACAACGCGCGTGTCCTGTGTTCGGGCTTCTTCCCTAGGCTTCGGGTAGTCTTCCCCCACCCCTCCGCCCCCCCCTGTGTCTGTCTATGTCTGTCTACGTATCTGCATCTGTCTTCGTGTCCGCGAAGACCCCCCCTGCCCCTGCGTGTCTGTCTGTGTCTCTTTGTGTCTGTCTGGGTCTGTCTGCGTCTGTCTTCGTGTCCGCGAAGACCCCTTGCGTGTCTGTCTCTGTCTCTTTGTGTCTGTCTGTGTCTGTCTGTGTCTGTCTACGTATCTGCGTCTTTCTTCGTGTCCCCCCCCCCCGCGTGTCTGTCTGTGTATTTGTGTCTGTCTGGCTCTGTCTGCGTCTGCCTGCGCATCTGCGTCTGTCTTCGTGTCCGCGAAGACCCTCCCCCCCCGCTGCGTGTCTGTCTGCGTGTCTTTGTGTCTGTCTGTGTCTGTCTACATATCGCGTGCTTTCTCTCGTCCCGGGCCGAAATTCTAAGGTGTGTGGGGGCGGCGGAACCAGGCCGCAGGCCATTAAATAACCCAGGCACCCAGGTATTGACACTTCTTGCGCACAAAGGCAAGCACGCAACTTCACACCTTGCAAGATCTGTGCCAGACTAGAGCACGCTTTAAAGAGGCTGTTGTGGGCAACTGCCAAACCGCCCATTTTTTGGACCACTTATATTGGACCACTAAACCTCCAACTCGCTAGACACAGCCCGCTCTGGATTGAACCACTACCTCGGTGGACCCCTGGCTATCAAAATTCAAAATTGTGCCATGCTGAAATCAGCACTGTGGCAACTTGTAGCCAGGGCACTGTACGAAAGGCAGGCGCCCTGCTTCATCATGGGCATGACCTGGGCGCGAATCGAACGGGATGCATGATTTCTGCTGTCAAAGCAGCCAAGCTTCTGAAGAAACCACGGCAGTGTGCTGCTTGTCGGGAGTGAGGTTACATACGAGGTCCTTGGTGGTATGTGGCTATGTGTCAAAACCCCGTACCCCCAGTGACATCGCAATCCCCATTAAAATAGGTTCTAAAATGGGTGGTGCACCTAACCCAAAATGGTACCATTGGTGCTGACCCATGGCCATGCCTGCACAACCTCCACTGGTGGAGTGTTCTCATGGCTGCATGGCTTAAGCTCCTCGCTGCCTGTGGGATCAGCTCATCATAGGTGCCCACCTGCTCGCAACACAGCAGCGCCGCATCGATTCCTTGCTCGGCCTTGGCCCGCCTTGAACCCATTCTGCGAAGCATTCACAAAGCTCTGGCGCTTCTTGTCGATGGCATCCTCATCTCAACACTTTGCACAACGGGTGGACGGCACAGCTGATCCTCTACTAACTTGCTCGCCCTTGCCTTGCGGAGTGCGTAACTGACGTCACAGCCGGAGTCGCGCATGTTGAGACCCTCACAGTGGGTTCTGGTTGCAAGATTTGCATAACTCTTTCCACTCTGCGCCTGGTTCAAGCCCTGCGCGCCGCAGCCAACAATGACGACTTTCTTCTTATCCTGGGCCACATGTTTCTGCATTGCACGCGCGGGCCGCTTCCTGATGCCCCTTTCTCTCTCTCTCTCTCTCTCTCTCTCTCTCTTTATCTCTCTCTCTCTCTCTCTCTCTTTCTCTCTGTTTCTTGCTTTCGTGCTTTCTTGCTTTCTTGCTTTCTTTCTTGCTTTCTTTCTTTCTTTCTTTATTTCGTTCTTTCCTTCCTTCCTTCCTTCCTTCCTTCCTTCCTTCCTCCCTTCTTTCATTCTTTCTTTCTTTCTTTCTTTCTTTCTTTCTTTCTTTCTTTCTTCCCTTCTTTCTTTCTTTCTTTCTTTCTTTCTTTCTTTCTGTCTGTCTGTCTGTCTGTCTGTCTTTCTTTCTCTCTCTCTCTCTCTTTCTTTCTTTCTTTCTTGCTTTCTTGCTTTCTTGCTTTCTTGCTGTCTTTCTCTCTTGCAATCTTTCTTTCTTTCTTTCCGATCATGACAATGCAGGCAGGTTGCAAGCTTGGCAACGCCGTCAGTGAACTCAGATCTGGCCATGAAGCGGCATCGGCCCAACCTTGCGTTGCTGTGCCTTCAACATAATAAACACTGGTGCATGTTTCTGGGTGGATGAAGTCGAATAGATGCTGGCCAATCAGTGAATCAGCTCGAAGCGAAACATCGTAATGCAAAGCTGAGCTTGTTGCTGGTCCAGCTTCTCCGAAAAGCTCAGTGTGTTGAAGTAGTTTGAGCGCCTGACAGAACTTGCATGGCTTCGTGCTCGCCCTGCTATGAGAAAACAAGGCCACGGCGAAGTCGCCGCACGCAGGAGCGACCTGAACATAGCTGATCGTGTACCTGAATCAAGAAGCTGAAGCGAGAAACAAAAAACCGCACGGCAAGCAGCCGGTGCCCAGGTCACGGGAGCTTTGACGCACAGCACTGTCCAAAATTTCACTGGGGGCTTGAGCCGACCCAGCTCAGCGAATGCTACTCAATGCCCGGCGCGTGCTAATGTGCAATTGACCACTCAGCCGTAACCCTCAAACAATCCCAGGGCTTCAGCTTCACATGGAACATGTGTCAGAGAGCCCTTCTTCACAGGAACCCATAGGAGTCCAATTTTTGCTCACAATCGCCAAGGCTCCCATCACTGACCATGCTACTTGGCAACATGTCCGTTCTCCCTCTGAAGCAACCACGTCCTCGCGGGCAGCTCTGGCGGCGGTCCCACCCAGGGCCAAAGCAGATTCCGCCAGGCGCATGGCCAAGCGAAGCCGCGCAGCTGCGGCCTCACAGCCCGCAGTGGCATCATTCCTTGGCCCAAGCAATTTTCCATGCCTCTACTTGCTGGTGCGATAGGCAGGGAATGAGGGAGTGAATCAGGGACTCCCTTGAAGGAAACGACGAGGGATGGTTTATAGAGGTCATTCCCCCTAGTGAGCACCAGCAAGTCCAACACCTCTTGCAACTCTTTCGCTCTCTCACTTTCTCTCTCTCTCTCTCTCTCTCTTTGTGCAGCGTCTGATCTTATCAACTGTATTTCTTGCCGTCGATAGTTCCTAACTCAGCTCCGTGCGTGGTGGGAAACCTTACAACAGCTCGGCAGAGTATCAAATGCACCCGCATAGCTCGTGTTGCTGTTTTGTGGCAGGGGAATGCAAGTAAGCACCTCAGTTAATAGTTCAGCCTACACTGTTGCACAAAATCCATTCAAGGCAATGCAGTGGGTTCATCCTTATTCACCAGGGTTTTCATGAAATAGCTGCAATGGTTGCCTCACTGATTGACAACATGGCCGTCATTGTGACACCACGTGCGATCAACAACGCATGTCTTGCATTTTCACCATTCCTAGTGTACATGTCCGCCGAGGCGCACGGGAAGGCTGGCAAAAAAATCAGAAGTTGCTCGTCGTCATCAGACCCTGCTGGCGATGCTGGGGATGCGTGAGCATCACAATCATCATCATCATCGTCAGCATCACCACCACCACCACCACCATCATCAGCATCCTCGTCGTGGGAGTGTGGTCATCAGGCCTCCCTGGCATTCATGTTCTGACTCTAGGATGGAACCCTTGAGTCACCCACCTACATCTCATGCAGTTACTAGCCAAGAGATTGTGATTGTGAATCTATAATTTATTGCCATGTACTATTTATAGGTGTTCTTTTGGTGTGTTAACAATCCAAAGAAAAAGAGAGTGCGAGAGAGAAAGACATGGCATCTGATTTTATGTCTTTTTGGTATGCTGTACCTATCCGATCCATCTGTAGGTGTGGGTGTATCTTTCCTTGTCATGTCTTTAGTATCCAGTAAAGAGAACGAGAAAGGACAAAATGCAACGGATGTACAATGTATTATCTCCCTTCTTTTTTTATATCATATCATTACTAGTCTATACAAGTATTCACACTTTAACTAATGGTTATGTTTATTGTCCTGTTTATTATATATTCCAAGCTGTATATATTTTACAATTATTACTTCATGCTCAGATTGAAAGGATTGGAAAGGTTGGCAGACATCATTTCCTTCATATCTGTTCACCTTCATTTTGTTTGTCTGTTTCTCTCACCGTATTTATCATTTATCGGTTTCTACGTGTGTTTTTGCATGTTTTTGATTGATTCTTCGGGCCCCAGGCAGGAGAAGCGAAAGCTCTGGTTAGGGGTCGGCGGCAGAGGGCGGCAGCCCTTGAATGTCCAGAAACTGGGAGAAGCGCTCCCTTGGTTGACGTTGAAAGGGGAGCAAACATTTAAATTTTGGGATTTGAGACATGCTTCCCAACAACAACCATGCTGCTGGACTAGCCCTGAGGTCCTTGCTCGGAAGGAGGCAGTGGCAGAGAAAACCCAGCTGTCGCCTGCAAAATCCGAACAACTGGCAGGAAGAACATGCATGTAGTGCATGTAGTCCCTGCCCAGCTGCGCCTCGACACGAAAGCTGCGAACTTCTTCGGCCAGGCATTGAATTTCAGCTTGGCCTTGAGCAAACTGATGTTGAGCACTGGATTCTCTCTCAGCTGGTAACCTTTCTGTAAGGCTCCAGCTCTTCTGTTCCAGGTGTTTGCCAGGCAAGTCCTGCGCCTGCGGATGCTCTCAAAGCAAGAAAATCGAACCTACTTCCTTCGGACCTTCGCCTCTGAAGCCAATGTCTGCTCCAGGGCTTCGACCTCAGCTCAACTGCAAATTTCGTCAAAAAGACCCTAAAGCCACTCCCACTTCGCACATCTACGGATTCTTAAACAGAAAACAACACCTCGACGGCACCACCGCAACCCCGCCGAACAGCCAAACCGCAGCCGCCCTCAGCCACGCTCACCGCCGAGGCTAGGGCCTCTCGCCGCAGCCGCTGCACCTGGCCCGACGTCTCCAGCTCCTCCTGTCCATGGGTCAAAGCCCGGTTAGCCCGCAGTGAACATCAACCAATCCCCACTAAAATAGGTTCTAAAATGGGTGGTGAATTCACCTACCAACCAAAATGGGATCCCATTGGTTTTGACCCAATGCCCTCCTGGCGCCGCCGCCGCAGCTCCGCCGCACCGCGCTGCAGCGCCGGCGGCCCGCCGGGCGCTTGGGCCCTCACGGCGCCTCGTTCGCGCGTGCGCGCGAGCGCGGGCGGCGCAGGAGGAAAAAATGGGTCACAGGTCTGGCATCAGTTGCCAAGGATGATTTCAGGGTAGCAAGGGACAATAGACTTAAATAGGTGCGGCCTCCTATTTAATTCTTGACAATGTCATGGTTCTGGGTAGACCAGTTTTATACCGGGTTTTGAGTATGACTCACGTCCTCATTGCAGATCCTGCGAGCAGGCATTGCATCAATAAGTTCTACCTTATTCATCCAGCACGATTAGAAATTGTGCAGGCATCCTTGCCAACAACCACCGTGTCAGCTCGAATCTAGAAAAACATGACGCTGCTTCGCTGCTTAGTGTGCTCTGACTGGTTTGTTGAGCAGTTCTCATTCATGCCATCCCTGACATTTGATATGAGACTTGCCAGGATGTGTTTTCATGCTTGAATCTGCTCACTGAACCAAAATCTCACTTTGCGCATCTGCAAGCAATTCAATCCATTCGTCCGGCTCTGTGCCACGATCGTCTCCTGTTGCGCAGCCTCTCTTTCAACACCTAGCTTCGTGCGGTTCTTGCTCAGGAGGTTCCGTCTACCAATCGTTTAAACAACTTTAAGTACACAGGGAGTGCATAGTGACGCTTAATTGTCTACAGTATCCTTTAAACATATAGCGACAACATTCAAAGTTATGTACGACTGCGCCTCCCATCATGCAGCAAATGTGAGTAGTCAGTGGGTAAAGTGAATCCAAGAGTTCAACTTGAACTCTTGGATTCACTTTACCCACTGACTACTCACATTTGCTGCATGATGGGAGGTAGCTGAACACTTGAACTGTTCAAGTGTTCAGCTAGCTTGGAGCTGCGTTCTGGGTGCAAGCAGTGCAATCTATGTCTGGTCAACGCAATCAAAGCTGTGTGCTTTATGTGATGCTGGTGGTGTCGACCAATTGCCACTGAGGCCACGGTGCAACGCACTCCACAATCCAAGGACAATCCGCCAAGTGATTGAAGCCCCGCCTTCGGCATTGTTGAGCTCGCTCCTGAGGTTCACCAGAGCCAGCCTGGCACCAATCAGACAATCAAGATTTTCTCTCTCTCTCTCTCTCTGCCAAGCTGTGGGGTCCGCCTCAGCTCCAGCGACTCCTGGGCCACTTCAGAAACGTGTGCTCGATATTGCGAGAAACACTTTGGCGTCGGTACTTTCATACACATCATAAATAGGCACGCGTGCTAATGCATTTGTCAGCGGGACTACGAGGGTTTGCAAGTTTGATCTGACATAAGACTCTCTCTGTGCCATCCTGGTTGGCCTCCTGATGAACTGACTGAAGAGCCTAGACGCCACAAGCTCCAATGCCCGGCTCGCATGATTTCTCGCGGAAAGCTGAGCTTTCAGTGGATGCTAGCAAATGGTCGAGTGCGGATCTCACCCTGCCTCTGCATGCCTCTGTTTCACTCTGGAGGCAGCCTCACTGGCCTTGGACTCACTCCACTCATGTCCAACCTCATGGCATCCTGAACCCAGGCGACTTGGACGGGACAAAAGCAGGCAGCTTGAGTTTGCCGCGGCCTTTTCAGCCGCGCGCAGCTTTCCCTGCCAGTGCTGCACACTTGATGCTTCCTTGGTCCACTGTGCCAACCCATGTCCCATGTCGCACGAGTCGAGTGCTCAGCGTGGCGCTTCTTCCTGGCAGCGCCGCAGGCACTGCGCTGCCTTGCGCATCTCATCCGATCTCAGGTCTCGCGCCTCGGAGTGCGAGAAGTGGCCGTGGCTCAAAAACATGGAGACCAAAACTGCGCCTTGGTAAATGGGTGTCTCTTTTTTAGGGAACTCCTCCAAAATGGTGGTTTCCTTTTGTGTTCCACCCACAAACAGGTGCCCTCGAGAAAAGACAGAATGGAGCCAAAGAGTAAAACCTGCGCAACCCTAGATCGTTTATTTTGAGCCACACCCAAGTGTGAGACATAGGGCGAGACAACTAAAGGTCTAGGGGCCTAGCCCACGCGCTCGCGCGAGCTGAGCTGTTGCTCGTGCATCGGTAACGCATTGCCTGCATTGCGTGAGCACCAGCAAACCCACACACGCGCACACACGCGCACACACAGCAACAGACAAACACTTGGCGAAGCACCTCCAAAGCTGCTTCCTCTGCTGTCACACTTTCCTGGCCGGCAACGTATTGTCGCACACCGTCGCACTCTTGATACGCTTGCAATTCTCTTCAAGGCGCTTCAGCGATCTTCACTTCCAGCTCCAGTTCTTGCAGACCTTTGGGCTACGAAGGACTCGACAGCCGTCGTGTCACAGAGCCCCAGACTGCCAAACGAACGAAACGGGTCCTCAGAGCGACACGCTGCCTCAAGCTTCAAGCTTTTGTCTTGGTGGTTTGGTGGCTTGGAGCTTGGGTGGCCTCCCATCTACAAAAGCCAGGGCTTCAAATCCCCAGAAACCACCCATCCAAACCACCAATTCAAGGGGAAGCTGACAAGTCTCTCAGCTTAACGCCTTGAGCTGTTCCAGCTTGCTGGCGAGCTCCTGCGCGACTTGTGAGAAGCCATGAGGCATCACCTACTGCCTTTGCAGCACTTCAAAGCACAAGGCGATGGCTGCTTTTATGTGCCGCTCCAAAGAGCTACGGCGCGTCCTAAAAATCAAACCACCTGGCCTTGCAACTGGACGTGGACGCAGCCAGGCTCTCTTTCACCACACTTTCCTATAGCCAACAGCGGAGGCTAACTCTATGCAAATCATTAAGTCATGTTCTAAGAGCTGATTCACTGACATTTGAAGGCTTCTCTTGCAATGTCCTGCTCCTCCGTTGCAACTAGCAGCTCCTCGTTTGCCTGCACCTGCCCAGTCAAAAAGGCCACGAAACATCACGTCGTTCATCGTCACAGAGTGGTGTTGTTCATTCCGTTCTAGCTCATATGAAATGATTTAACCTTCCGCCAATCCTTCCGCGGCCTGCACTGGTAGCTTCCGCGATTCGTTTTGATAGAAAACCACTGCCGCAAGCTTCCGCGACACAAGTTTGCAGCATTTCGAGGCAGCGCAACCACAGTTTTAGCATCGTGTTCGAGCATTGACTTTGTTTCAGGGCCTTGGCATTGTTTGTCTTGTTGTTGCCGCTGCTGCCGCTGTTGTTGCTCCCAGGCTTCCGAGGAAGGTTGAGGAGCTGCCGCTGCTTGCATGCTGTGGGAAAGGGCCCGCTTCCCTTCCGCGCCCCTTCCGGAAAGCTTCCGCGGCGCTTCCGCGGAAATCCGCATCTCTTTGATCGACAAACGCTGCTTGATTGTTGGCACCATTGCCATTTGGCCGTCGAAACAAGTGTAGCGTCAGCACAAACAAACATAATGCGAGCTTCCGCAAACAAGACACTTGGAGCTTCCGCACGCAGCATTCCGCGACTGTAGCTCGGCGCGCGTTGCCATGTAGTTGCGGAGCAACGAAAAGTAACTCGCCATTGTCACATCGTCACATTGTCACATCGTCACGTCAGCATCACCACCACCACCACCACCACCACCACGACCACCACCGTCACCATCATCATTGTCTTGTGCAGCGGTGATGAATGTGCACCTCAGACTGCAAGCGCTGCTGCCGGGACTGCAGCGATCGCACCTCTGATCAGGCAAGGTCTGAACTGCTGCCACCGAGCCCATCCGCAATGTGCATGTTGATTCTGGTCATACTCTCAACCTGCTTGTGGATTTCATGCAGCCGTGAACGATCAGAAAAATCACTGAAAAGACCTGAATTGAAAAGCCCCGAATGGTAAATTTTAAGAGATTTGCTCGGCCCAAGGCTTCCAGCTCCTGCTGCCGAGCCTCGGGTAGCGACACTAAGCATGGCACACTCACGACCTTCCCGTTTGGCTCCGCCTGCGTATCTGCCTCCCGTCGGCTTGCCGCATGCTCCCTGGTTTGCAGGTCCTGGCACTGAAGGGAGTGGCAAGTCTGGGCAGCTGAAAGTGGCTCGAGGGGCTGCATCTCACATTGGGGGCCTCTAGAATGGTTGATTGCCTTGCTTCATGCTGAGCCACAATTCCAGTATCCCGTTTGAAAACTGTCTAAGGGACCCGCTCACACCTGGGCAAAAGAGAGAGCGGAATGTTTCAGAGAGGCACCAGTGCAAAAGTGAACCTTGTTCTGAAAGAAATCCAGCCCTGAGCTGGGGATGCGAACAGCAAGTCCACCTCGGCAGCCAGCTGCAGGCCCTGTTGCTGAGCCTCAGACCAAGTGACTGCATCCTCACATTGGTATGAGTCAAAGTTAATTCACCAGGGGACCGCAGGTTTTAGTTCTTTGTTTCCATTTGCCTAGGGTTCCACTTGAGGTACCCATTTTTGACCCACACCCACATAACACCGCAAGACCGGCCTCCAGAAGTGTCCTTGATTCCACAAGCAAAGCGTCGGCCTGACTCTTTCCGCATCGCTCGGACGCTTTGCCAGGGGCCAGCATTCGAGCACAACTGCCTCCGCTTGCGTGAAGTCTAAGTCGGCGTGCAGCTGTCTGTGAGCCTTCAATTCACAACCGAGCGTGGCCTCAAAGAAAATAGACGAACCACATCAATGATGTTTGACTTGAGTTGAAATATGGTACTCCTGCCTTCAGCATGCTTGGTAAGGTGCATTCCTGAACAAACGGAGACAGTCAAGGTACCAAAGCACTGGTTTGGTCGCCTTATGGGATGACTTGACTGCGGAAACTTGGCGTCGAATCTCTGCAGCCTGCAAAAGAAAAAACGCACTCCAGAGTCAAACACCTGATCTCCGCTGCATGCAATTTGCTACATGCTGTGGATGCTTGCGAAACCTATTTGGCACCAGTTTGGACCCATGGTTGAAAGCATGGTTTGTTGGTATTTGTAGGGGAATCAAATCATTCCAGGGTTTCTGAACGGTGGTGCGAAATGGATTTCGTCCATCCGCAGTATGGCAATCGTGGCCTCATCGATACACTTGTACAGCGCTGAGAGCCTTGAGAGAGCGATCAGGCGAGGTCTGGAAGAATGCTCTGCCCAAAAATGCTCTGCCCAAAAATGGCTCTGCTCTCATTGTGCCATCACTTGCCAACTTTTAGATCTAAGGCTACCATCTTCGCAGGCCTAAGATGCCACCCATCTACTCGCAAGCCGAGCTCAGGCAACGGCCTGTCCCCTCCGCCCTGGCCATGCAGTGGCTTGACAGCTATCCCAGAAAGCCGCCCTTTGGCCTGGGAAACAATATCCTTAAGGAATATGTGCTGGGAATCGGTTTCCCAGCTATCCTTAACAAATACGGCACCCAGGTCAAAAGCCGCCCTTTTGGCCCGTGGCCCAACGCTGCGCAAAAGTTAGCTTGGCTTTCCAAGTTGCAAATTGCGCACGGTCCAGCGCCTCGACGCCATGTGCGCATTCTTGCAGAGCCGCTGAAAGACGTGAAAGCTCTCCCCTGTGCCTCGCTTGCTCGCTCGCCCATGGAGTGAACGGGGCGGCTATGCACTGCAAATTCGAGAAGCGGGCAAGAATGCTTGCTGCTCCACATCCATGGCAGGGAGGGGGCGCACTCCGTCACAGCAGATTCTGGTCGGCGCGGACTTTTGCTGCTGCCGGTGCGCAGCACTGAGCTTCCGCTGCCCTGTGAGATAGTTTGCCAAAGGAAAGCACTCATGGCCCAAAGCTGCGTGCAATGTGACAATGGCGCATCACTTTTACAACGGATTCTGCGAACTAGGTCAGCATGTCATCCAAAATGTCACTTGCCATCGAGTGAAGCCGCCATCTTCCACCCTCCGACGGCTTCCTGCGAACATGAATTCATGAACGGCAGCAGCTCATCTCAAGGCGCTGTCCTTGTACAAGAAGCATTTGTCGCTGTCCACCGAAACAGCCAGCATCGTGCCAGCCTCCAGGCTTGGCTCAAGTGATTGGAATGAGATCCTTTTGTGCGCGTGCGCGCGCTCTCGCCTTGGTCCAGCTGAGTCGACGCGCAGCACCATCCACTGACCACTTTTGCCGTGTCTCGAAAGGCAGGCCATCGGCATCCTGCGAGCCCCGCATCTGCCACGAACCTCTGCCCCAGAATCCCCGCCTGCGCTATCAGCACCACGACTCCGTCCTGTGTTGAAAACACGAGTTGGGATCACCAAGAAAGTCTGGATCAAACAACCTCCAATCCCAAAGAACAGTGGCACGTAGGCAGAACCACACTGTTCCCTAAGATACCAAAAAACACATGCGGGCGATTAACTGTAGAGAAGCCAACTGCCACCAACACCCGTAACTCGAGCTGTTCTGTGCAAAGGTAGCTGCCCTTCAGCAAGTGGTGAATTTGCTCGAACAGGGAGGGCTTGGTCAACATGAGAGGAGTCCTCCCAAGGATGCACCTGCATGCCCATCTCTATGAAGACTTGGTCAATTTAGAAAGGATGCTCTTCGTATCACAGAATGGGCCAAGACTGTGCACTGTTTGCTGGAGAGGTGGGATCAAGCGGAAACCCCGAAACAACACAAGGCTTGGAAGCCGAATTATCTTGGTTCCACACTCCCCAACCCAACAAACGAGCTGCGCAGGCCTTGCTCAAGGGGGCTTGAATCAATCCAAAATCCTAAACTTCATCCTTGATATGGCGGTGGGTCAAAACCCTCCCTGGTGAGCATCAAAATAGGTGGCAAATGGATGTTCATCCACCCCAAAATGGAGCCATAGGTTCTGCCCCATGGCCATATCCTTGCAAAGATCGAAGAACTGTCAAACGTTCACCGGATGGTTTGCCAACGCTCCGAGGGCGCGGCCGCGCAGGCGGCCAGGCAGTTGCCAGGCAGCCCGACATTGGGGCGCCAGGCCAGGCAGCTCGACTCGCTGTCCTGGGGATTCGGCTGGGCTGCCCCTAATGTTGACCCCGTACTGTGGATGGACGAAATCCTGCACCACTTTGAAACCATGGGAAACCATTGCTTGTTGGTATTTACTGGGGAATCATGATTCCAGGGTTTCTTCGGTGGTGCAGGATTTCGTGCATCCACCGAATCACCCCAAACCCCGGTTTATTACCAGCAAAACACAGTGTGTTTGCCATTGTCCATCACGAATCACATCCCCGCCAACGGCCGCTCTCTTTATTACTACGAAGTGTCCCTGGGTTTAGTAGAGCATCAGACCACTTTTGGAACAGAACTACGTACTGTGGATGGTCTGGTTGCAAAATCCGGAAATCGCCCCACCTAAGAAACCATGGTTGCAACCATAACGTTTGTTGGTATTTGCAGGGCAATGGAATCCTTCTCGGGATTCTTGGGTGGTGCGGGATTTCGTGCATCCACAGTATTCATCACCAAACCCCAGTTTATTGATAGTGGGGTGTCCCGGGGATCATTACTTTTGGAGGGGACAACCCCCCGATTGCTAAACTGGGGCTGATTAATATGGGGTCAGCATTACCCTCCAATCCTGGGAACCTGTCTGGAACCATGGAACCATGGTTAGGGAATCCCTGTGATTTGCTCTAAACCTTGAAAATACCTGCCACACTATTCCTAGGCTGGGCCTCTCGGGCTAACGCCCAAGACAGATTGGCGTGGCTGCTCTTGCGGGGAGTGGATGCTGTCTGCCCTCCCTGCGGCTCCAGAATATGCTCCCGCAAGAAGTTGTCGTTCCTGGCATCGATGCCTTGGCTCCAGCGTCATTCCACACAGGACACATCTTTCGTGGGGAGAGGCAGCCTCATATGGGTCAAAACCCTGTACCCCTGGTGAACATCAAACTAGGTGGCAACTGGCTGTTCTCATCCACCCCAAAATGGAGCCCTAGGTTATGCCCCATGGCCATATCTTGGAGTCTGAGATCTGTTCAAGCCGGTGCTAATGCAGCTGAGGGAAGGGCGCCAAATGATCATCTGGCCATCAGCGCCACAGGTCGCTAGTCTGTTCGCCTCAGCCACTTCCGTGCCTCGCTCCACAACTTCCGTGCGAGGCCCCAGCGCCCAGCCAGCGGCCAGATCTCGCCGCGGGTCCTGCGCACGCCGATGTGAAGCGGCGGGTGAGAAAAACCCGGCTAAACGGCCCGAAACGGAGCGGAAGGTCCGACCTGTGGCAAGCACTGGCCCAGAGGACGGAGCCCAGCTCAGAGACTTGATGCCACCAGTATGAGCAGGAAGAGATTTCACCTGAGAAAGAGAGAAAGAGAGAGAGAGAGAGGGGGAGAGAGAGAGACTTCAGCTGAAAGGTGGCAATGCACCCATACCCAGTAATGCAGACCAAAGAACTTGCCAGTTGTCCGGATTCGTTGCTCCGCGGCGCATCTCAACCTAGAATATTGTGTGGCTTGCAAGCCCCAGCTAAAGTTTCTGGCTGCGAGCCACTCCAACAAAATCGACAACCCTGCAGCAAGTGCTTAAATCTTCGCACTGGTGGAAACAGCGCCAAAACGCCATCTTGAATGGTCGTAGCTTAAGTACATCCAGACATAAATTAAATAAAGGCACAGAACGGCAAAGAGAGACACGAGCAAAGAACCACACAAAGAAACAAACAAAGAAACAAGCAAGGAAACAAACAAGGAAACAGACAAAGACAAACGCAAAGGTATTCCATGCCAATTATGCCTGCTCTTTCTGTATTTATGTCCTTTAACTATGTCTGTATCAATGTCAGTTCTTTCTGGTATGTGTGTTCTTTATTGTGAGTGTTTTTTTGTTGTGGTGTTTTCTTTTCGTTGATTGTCTTCTATGTCATTCTACTTTATTTCACGTTGTTGTCTTTTATTCTCTTTTTACTTCTCTTCTCTTCTCATATTTATTTTGTTTATTTCTTTCTTTCTTTGCCTCCCTGCCCTCTCCTCCCCTCTCCTCCCCTCCTCCCTTCCCTTCCCTTCCCTTCCCTTCCCTTCCCTTCCCTTCCCTTCCCTTCCCTTCCCTTCCCTTCCCTGCTCTCTTTCGTTCTTTCTGTCTGTTCTTTCCTTCTTGCCTTCTTTCCTTCTTTCCTCCTTTACTTTCTCCTTCATTCCTATCTTTCTTTCAGGGGTGGAAAAGGCAAGTGCAGGCTCATCCAAGTGCAAATGTGGCGTGGCTGGTAGTCGATCATGCTTGCATTGCCAGCTTGCTTCAAATAGTCAGATTTGCCTGATTGCCTTTTGAGCGCACACTTCATGACAGGCATCTGCAACGCGGTTGGTAGTCGATCATGCCTGCATTGCCAGCTTGATCGAATGGAAGCCACGCTCAACCCGCTCTTGCATGACACGAGCGCACGCTTCATGACAGGAATCTGCAACGCGGTTGGTAGTCGATCATGCCTGCATTGCCAGCTTAATCGAATGGAAGACCACGCTCAACCCGCTCTTGCATGACACACTGCTTCAGACAGTCAGATTTGCCTGACCACCTTTTGAGCGAACGCTTCATGACAGGCAACTGCAACGCGGTTGGTAGTCGATCATGCCTGCATTGCCAGCTCAATCGAATGGAAGATCACGCTCAACCCGCTCTTGCATGACACACTGCTTCAGAAAGTCAGATTTGCCTGACCACCTTTTGAGCGCACGCTTCATGACAGGAATCTGCAACGCGGTTGGTAGTCGATCATGCCTGCATTGCCAGCTTGATCGAATGGAAGACCACGCTCAACCCGCTCTTGCATGACACACTGCTTCAGACAGTCAGATTTGCCTGACTACCTTTTGAGCGCACGCTTCATGACAGGCAACTGCAACGCGGTTGGTAGTCGATCATGCCTGCATTGCCAGCTTGTTCGAATGGAAGACCACGGTCAACCCGCTCTTGCATGACACACTGCTTCAAATAGTCAGATTTGCCTGACTACCTTTTGAGCGCACGCTTCATGACAGGAATCTGCAACGCGGTCGGTAGTCGATCATGCCTGCATTGCCAGCTTGATCGAATGGAAGCCACGCTCAACCCGCTCTTGCATGACACACTGCTTCAGACAGTCAGATTTGCCTGACCACCTTTTGAGCGCACGCTTCATGACAGGCAACTGCAACGCGGTTGGTAGTCGATCATGCCTGCATTGCCAGCTCAATCGAATGGAAGACCACGCTCAACCCGCTTTTGCATGACACACTTCTTCAGAAAGTCAGACTTGCCTGACTGCCTTTTGAGCGCATGCTGGCGCGAGTGTTGACTGCATAACAACACAATTATTGCATGTCTGACTACCCCTTTAGCACATGCAGGCAGGTAGTTGGTAAGTTGGCTCATCAGGGCGGCCTACCATGTTGTGGAAACATTTGGAGAATTGGGTAATACCAAACATCAGATAGACCACAGGCTGCGACAGTAATATCGACCAGGGCTCAGTTGTGCTTCAAAAAGGATAGGGAACGGACCTCCGAACAAATCGCAAGCTTGGCTGGTAGTCGATCATGCTTGCACAGCCAGCCTAATCGCATGGAAGACTACGCTCAACCCGCTCTTGCATGTCACACTGCTCCAGAAAATCAGGTTTGCCTCACTACCTTTTGAACACACGCTTCATGACAGGCATCTGCAGCGCGGTTGGTAGTCGATCATGCTTGCACAGCCAGCTTAATCGAATGGAAGGCCACGCTCAACACGCTCTTGCATGACACACTGCTCCAGAAAGTCAGATTTGCCTGACTGCCTTTTGAGCGCATGCTGGCGACACAGAAAGACATCAACCATAATACGGAAAAACAAGTCAGACAACTGTTGCTGCAAACTAAATAGAAACCCCACATCCAAAATCACTGCGTGCAACTGCAGCTGCTTCGAATGGAAGACCACGCTTACCCCCCCCCCTCTTGGCTGTCTGAATGCCTCGAGAAGCCAAATTAAATTGGACTGTCCTGTGGCACATGACGGGTTCTCTCACTCTTTGTGTTGGCTAATTGTTGCTGTAAGAAGCAAACTATGATTGTGAGAAAGCATCCAAGCTCCATCACTCGTCTTGTGGCATGACATGAGTCACAGATCGAGCCGCCTCGTGTCGCAAAGCATATGCGCTTTGGGGCCGCTGGGTGCCGCTTCATGTTCGGGCTTCTGCGGCCATCCGGAGCAAGTGCAAGCAACAACGCAAAGGGCCTCCCAATGCATGTGCCGTCCGCACCTGTAAAACTCCGAATCAGAAGAATTTCTTTCTTTCTCAAGCGCCGAGAAAAGTCTCTGCTCTTGCACGCAGAGCGGTCACTCAACCCTAATGGGGGGAAAAAAGAAGAAGGAAAAAAAAAACGCCGGGGAGCCAGGAAGGTGAGAACCCCCAGCTCATCCCCGCCGCCAATCGCCAGCACCAGGCACGGCTCCGGGGCACTGAAGCCGATGGACCGCGCAGAGCCGGGGACGTACTTGTGGTGCAAAATCTGCCATTCGCTGCGGAATTCCTCAGACGGCCGTGGCTCAAAATTAAGGAGCTGGGGTTTTGGTCGAGGGAGAGAGAAAACAATCAAAGGATGCGCAACAAGACAACACAAATATAGAAAGATAAAATAACCACACACCGAAAACAAAACAGTTGCAAAACAAACTTCACCATAAACTCGTGTTTGGGGGCCAATCCTGGCAAAGGCCTAGAGCCGGGTTCTTCAAGCTTTGGCAAAGCCTACACGTGTCAGGCTTTGCAAGCTAGGCAACAGCAGTCTCCAAAACCACGAAACAGAAATCCCCGAGTTCCCCCAACCAAAATCGTCGTTGGAAGGGGGGCGCATTTCACGGACGATAGTCTTTGGAACGCTGAGCCTGTTGTTGCACACCAGGTCAACATTTCGGTTCCCAGCTAAGGGCCCCAAATAACTGAGAATCACAGCCCAGAGGTGAAGTACAACCTCAACGAACTTGTGAAATGAACAGCGCGCGGCGGGAGCATAATTTCTTTTGCCGATGTTTGTTTCGTAGGGTTGCCCTTCAAGGTGAAACAGTTGTGGGGGCTAGGTTTCAGAAGTCCACACGTGAGAGCGTTGCAACATGTCGCGGGCAACTGGTAAGAGAGACGGGACAAATTCCTTGAGTAGCATACTTGAGGAGGGGGTGAACGAAAACTAGCAACTGTTGCATGAGACGGGTCGGAAACAGAATAGATTCCAAAAGGTAGCTTGCGCGCCATGCGAGGCGCTGCGAGGATCCTCAGGAGGCTACACGCAAACTGACATGGTGGCCCGGCACACCGTGACAAATAAGAATAACGAGAGGTGTCTCAGTCTTAAACCGCTTCCTGCAAAGTGCTTTCCTGAGACAACTGAGGAAGACCACCAAAGTGGATTCGGATACGTAGACCGGACCTAAAAATGTGTTTCTGGGTCCAAGTCAACGCTTGAGGGGGGGTGGACCAGGATTCGAGCCCGGGAAAGGGGGGGGCCTAAATAATTGTTTCTTGTTTTCTTTGCTCCAAATAGTTGATCAAAATCAATCTTTCGGCATTTCAGCCCCTGCGCAAGGAGAAACTTCAGCTAGCTACAGCTAGCTTTCGCGACATGACAGCGCATGTGGAGCGACTGGCAATCTAAGTGTTGATCTTTTTGTCCGGGGTCGGTCCGGAATCCCAGAAAAATCTCATCCTGAAGAACTTCCAGTTCCAGGGGCCCACCAGAAAGCGGCCAGCGAAGAATCATTCCCGACAGACTGCAACGATGGAGCACAGAACCGACGACCCAGCGTGAACCCATTGAGACCCCGCATGGTTGCTGGAAAACTGTTCCGCCAAGGTTAATAGGCTGTGAAGTAGCACGCCCACTGCAAAAACAACAGCAGCCCGAAGTTGCAAAACCTTGGCCGAAGACCCTTGAGACTTGGTTGAATAGCACGTTCGGCATGTTGTGTTGTAACGAGTCAATAGATATGTCTTGAAGTTGAACAAATCGGTGGATCAAGAAACTGCACGGAAGTCTAGATACGATGGCGCTCAAATGGGTTTGTATTTTTTAGGGTGGCCGGGCAGGAAGGTTTGAGTACGGGGTATGATTCGCAGGTATGATTCGCGGGTATGATTCGGGGTATGATTCGGGGTATGATTCGGGGGTATGATTCGCGGAAGCAGCAGCAGCAGTAGTAGTAGTAGCAGTAGTCGCCGAAGTAGTAGTACTAGTAGTAATATTGTAGTAGTAACAATAGTAGTAGTAGTAGTAGTAGTAGTAGTAGTAGTAGTAGTAGTAGTAGTAGTAGTAGTAGTAGTAGTTAGTAGTAGTTAGTATTTAGTAGTAGTAGTAGTAGTAGTAGTAGTAGTAGTAGTAGTAGTAGTAGTAGTAGTAGTAGTAGTAGTAGTAGTAGTAGTTAGTAGTAGTAGTAGTAGTAGTAGTAGTAGTAGTAGTAGTAGTAGTAGTAGTAGTAGTAGTAGTAGTAGTAGTAGTAGTAGTAGTAGTAGTAAGAGTAGAAGCAGCGACTGTAGTGGCGCGGAAGCTTTGAAAAGACTTGGCGCTGGCCTTGGCAAGGCAAGTTCATTGCGCGGTATGATTCGGGTATGATTCGGGTATGATTCGCGGGTATGATTCGGCTAGGTGCAAAACGGCACTGATTACAAACTCGTAGTAGCTGTGGTAGTAGTAGTAGTAGTAGTAGTAGCAGTAGTAGTGGTAGTGGTAGTAGTAGTAGTAGTAGTAGTAGTAGCAGTTGCAGAAGTAGTGGTAGCAGCTGTAGCATAAGCAGCAGCGGCTGTAGTGGTGCGGACGCTGTGAAAAAGACTTAGCACTAGCCTTGGCAGGGGAAGCTCATTGTCCGGGTATGATTCGGGTATGATTCGGGTATGATTCGCGGGTATGATTCGGCTAGGTGCAAAACGGCACTGATTACAGACTCAGAATGATGTATGTGGTAGTAGTGAGTAGTAGCAGCAGCAGCAGCAGAAGCAGGAATAGCAGTAGTAGAAGTAGTAGTAGTAGCAGTAGTAGTAGTAGTCAAGGTAGCAGTAGTAATAAAGGTAGTAGTCGTAGTAGTAGTAGTAGTAGAAGTAGTAGCAGCAGTAGTAGTAGTAGTAGTAGTAGTAGTAGTAGTGGTCAAGGTTGTAGTCGTAGTAGTTAGTAGAAAGGGTAGCAGAAGCAGAAGTAGAAGCAGTAGAGTAGTAGTAGCAGCGGTAGTAGCGGTGGTAGTGGTAGTAATACTCGTAGTCGCGGTAGTAGCAGTAGTAGTAGTAGTAGTAGTAGTAGTAGTAGTAGTAGTAGTAGTAGTGGTAGTAGCAGTAGTAGTAGTAATTGGAGTAGTTGTAGTAGTTGTTGTTGTAGTAGTAGTAGTAGTAGTAGTGGCAGTGGCAGTGGTAATAATGGGTAGCGCTGGTGGTGGTTCTTGTGGAGACAGTGAACAACACAAAACGGTAGAAGAACAGTAGCATCTTGCAGCATACGTTTTAAGGGGTATGCTTCGGGGGTATGATTCGGGGTATGATTCGGGGGTATGGGTATGATTCGGGGAGGTCCCACCTTCTGCCTGTTGAAGCAACTCAACACACCAAAAAAGGACAAACCCAAATCTTGCTAGTCCAAGACAATTTCCATCTCCACAGCATTTTGGCGAAAGATACCCCAAATATACTGAGGAATGAGATCCGTACGTCGGGCTTTGGCCTCATGTGGAAAGACTGTCTCCAAAATTATCAGCAGCGGGATCGAAACTGCCTGCCCAATTTAGGGCATTACCTTTGGCCTGGCCTGTTTCGGAAAAAATCCACCCCCGCTTCTACTTCCGAGCCAGATCTCTTGCAATCATGGATGGCAACCGTAAAAGAACCGTCATTGGGCTTTGTTGAAGACGTCGGAAAACATCAGTGTCGAGAAGGTCCAAACATTGCTAACGGTAGTGGCCAGCTGGGCCCCAGACCCAACCCTTTGTACGAGCAGCAAGCTGGGTGACACCCGAGTATGTCCATGAATCAGTTCCCCGCTTCGAAACAGACCCGCGCCGTTCATCCCAACTTGTTGGCAGATTTGTCAGAAAATGGCTCCAATAGCGAGTGAGTCTAAACGACGCCAATGGGCAAGCCATTCGGTGAGTTGGGTGGCGTTGCGCGCGAAGAACTTCCACCAGCTTCGCCAAATCATGTCAACCATATTGGCCCAACACAGGGGCGCATCAGGCACAAACCACTGCATCAGGTGCCCAGTAACGTGGCCAGTCGCCGCGTGGGGTCACAGGCTGCCAGTCCCGCAAAAACGCTTTGAAGTTGAACTGCAGCGCCCCACAGCTCTCACTGGCCGGGAAGGAAGATGCAGTGCCGGAAAGAATCTTATTGGGCCCCTCGCGCGCTCCCCGGGCGCGGGCTCTCGTGTACAAAACAGCGCGGAGCTGGCCACGTAAAACGGGCAGTCTACCGCCGTGGACACATACGCACACCACCCCATGAAAACTGTACTGCGCCCAACTACCTGCGTCAAGGTCCATAAGCTCATGTTGCAGCAACGGGCGTAGAGAATTGAAACGTGAGCCTATTTGAGAACCCAATGTTTCATCAAACTAGAAACGGCGTACCAGAGTCATTGGCAGGACCCTCAGAGTTTGGCAATAGATAGCACCAGACAAAGGAAAAATGCACGCTACGTTCTGCACAAGAATGTGGCTCATCTCGGAAGCCGTAGACACATCCAGCCCCTATCCAGCGCTCGCACGGTCAACCTCGGGGGCGACAACGCCCGCTTCCTGGATCTCATTTTGGACGTGTGACTCTACACGATTTTGCGGGCCGTCGCAGTGTGCGCGGGCATGAGGGTTTCCATGAACTTGACGATCTTGGGAACATATGACTTGATGGCGTTGAGACGAAGGTTCCGATCATCGCTCATACCCCCACCTTCATGAAAGGCCATCTTTGACAGGTCAACAGGTTCACTCTCCCATACACTTATTTTTTTGGGATGCGAAGGCGGCCTCAACCCGGCTTCGATGGGCAGGTTTCCCAGAGACGCGTCGACCAGCTGTCTTGCTGTCGAGGCAACCAAATGAAAGGCCCTGTTGGAGCTGTGCGTCAAGGTGGGCGCATCAGCGCGCCACTCTTTCAGAAGCCGGCTGTCTGGGGCCGTGAGACCGCTGAGAATGGGGTCTCCTGCGAGGACCGCCCCGCATTCCCAGCTGCGTGACTTGGCTCTTGAGCCGTCAATCTGGCGACGGGAACAGGACTGAGAATCCCACCCCGCCCACGTTGTGTTAGAGAACATGACGAACTGAGTAGCTGTCAGCTAGCAATCTGAGACCCTCAAGACTTGCTGGACTAGACCGTGACTGCATAGCAACTGCAAAATTGAGAAGGGGTTTTGGAGATCGAAAAAGGTTCCAACAAGGCGTCTGTTTCGAGGGCGGCGCAGTCGAAAAACACAAAGCTCATCCCCATCCTTGGGTTGGAAGCGCCAAGCATCTGCAGGCATGTTACTGGGTCGCGGTGAAACTGTTGCGTCACCTCTGGCGGTGGTCTTGTTGGCTTCCGGTGGTTATTGGAGGGGCAGTTTGAGATCTCCCCCCGGATGTTGCCCCAAACGTCACCACGAGGTTCGCTTGCACCAGGGTGGACCCAAAAGATACACCTGCCACCGCATCCTGAGTCCTGACCTGTAGCATCGCGGGATCTTCCGATCTAGGGTCACAAGACATGGCAGAACCAAGGCGCAGCGTAGCTCCAAGCATCAATCCCCATCCGCGGTATACCCCGCATCTCCTGGGCTGTCACCCACCTTATGGGCGCCCGCCCGCCCTGTCATCACCTTCTGTCTCCCACTGCGGGTTGTCAGCGTTTCTTTGCCCCAGTGGGGCCTGTCTACGGTTCCAGGGCCGTGCCCATTCTCTCTACACCAGCCCCCACGGCGAGACACCGGCATGCCAGCCGAAGCCCATACACTGGTGATGGGTGGGAAATATCCAAGACCGAAGAAGGCGGAAAAGTCGAAGGCCTGAAACCAATGCCTGATCAGTCCGAATATCCTCCCAACTCATGAATTGCCAGCAGGCTCATGAGCGGGCCTTTTCCCCCTGCTCGCGACAAACGATCCGCAATTCCGAGCAATGCTCCCTCGAATGGTGTTGGCTGTCACACACACACACACACAGAGCTTCAAAGCGCCCCAACAAATGAGCCCCAAAAACCGGAGTAAACAAACACAAGCAAACTCGAGTCTACCCATCAGCACAGTCAGACTTTAGTCGAGCTTCGCGCCAGATGATCACGTGACCATCTGCTGCACCGGAGGCCAGCAAGGAGTCCTCGATGCCTTCGGCCCAGG